GTATACTTCACTGATATCAATCCCGTAACTCTTCGCCTTTCTAGAAAATTTCTAAAGAATGTAGATTTAGCTTTTCCAATTTCTCTTCATATGGAAGATTTCTAATTTTTGGGCTTTGTCTCCCTGCGCTGGATGTGTTCTAGTGAATTAATGTACATTCTATAGTAAGGTGACCAAACCTGAACTGCATAATCTAAATAAGGTCTAATAAGAACAAGATATAGCTGAACACCACCACCAGGTGTCTTATTACTAAAGCGTCTAGACACAAATCCCAGTATCCTATTTGCCTTTATTACGAACATTTATACATTGATCTTTCGACTTTTAAATTCTTACTAATCATAATTTACAGATGCCTTTGGCAATCTCAACACCATCCAGCTGATATCCTGTAACATCCTTACCTTGCCTCATAACCTTACAGTTATCAGCATTAAACTACATCTGCCAATCTGTTGACCTGTTAAATATTATGATCTGTTAAATATTATGATAGATATCGTGAAGAGACATTCACATATGGGACTAATAGAACAAGAACCCGGGAATGTGATGTTATAGTGGCCAGAATACTCCTGGGATATAGACGTATCTGGCAGCTTTCTCAAAACCCAAATGTCGAGTACACAATGTGTCAACTTTGTGAAAGAGAAAACATGCACTCCCTTGAACATTATATTGTAGAATGTCCCATATTGACTTTCACCCTCCTGGGCTAAGGTACGCTGAACGCTGTAACTACTATACGAGTACTGGAACACTTGATGATATATTGGACTTGTACCCAAGATTGACCATGTAATGTATCAATTATACAATGTATGTATGTGATGTAACTATATAACCTGAGCTTGTATAAGCATCTTTATCATCTTCAGTGGTTAAGTGCTTAATAACACACTAGTTTCTCTATCAGCTATCTTACCCTCTCAGAGTAGGAGGGCCATAAATGTATGTGTGTGTGTGTGTGTGTATATATATATGTACTCACCTAGTTGTGTTTGCGGGGGTTGAGCTCTGGCTCTTTATTCCCACCTCTCAACCGTCAATCAACAGGTGTACAAGTTCCTGAGCCAATTAGGCTCTATCATATCTACACTTGAAACTGTGTATGGAGTCAGCCTCCACCACATCACTTCCTAATGCATTCCATTTGTCAACCACTCTGACACTAAAAAAGTTCTTTCTAATGTCTCTGTGGCTCATTTGGGCACTCAGTTTCCACCTGTGTCCCCTTGTGCGTGTGCCCCTTGTGCGTGTGCCCCTTGTGTTAAATAGCCTGTCTTTATCTATCCTATATCCTATATATCCTAAGGAGCCGGTCGGCCGAGCGGACAGCACGCTGGACTTCTGATCCTGTGGTCCTGGGTTCGATCCCAGGCGCCGGTGAGAAACAATGGGCAGAGTTTCTTTCACCCTATGCCCCTGTTACCTAGCAGTAAAATAGGTACCTGGGTGTTAGTCAGCTGTCACGGGCTGCTTCCTGGGGGTGGAGGCCTGGTCGAGGACCGGGCCGCGGGGACACTAAAAAAGCCCCGAAATCATCTCAAGATAACCTCAAGATAACTATCAGTTCCTTTCAGAATCTTGAATGTGGTGATCATGTCCCCCCTAACTCTTCTGTCTTCCAGCGAAGTGAGGTTTAATTCCCGTAGTCTCTCCTCGTAGCTCATACCTCTCAGCTCGGGTACTTGTCTGGTGGCAAACCTTTGAACCTTTTCCAGTTTAGTCTTATCCTTCACTAGATATGTACTCCATGCTGGGGCTGCATACTCCAGGATTGGCCTGACATATGTGGTATACAAAGTTCTGAATGATTCTTTTCAAAAGTTTCTGAATGCCGTTCGTATGTTGGCCAGCCTGGCATATGCCGCTGATGTTATCCGCTTGATATGTGCTGCAGGAGACAGGTCTGGCGTGATATCAACCCCCCAAGTCTTTTTCTTTCTCTGACTCCTGAAGAATTTCCTCTCCCAGATTATACCTTGTATCTGGACTCCTGCTCCCTACACCTATCTTCATTACATTACATTTGGTTGGGTTAAACTCTAACAACCATTTGTTCGACCATTCCTTCAGCTTGTCTAGGTCTTCTTGAAGCCTCAAACAGTCCTCTTCTGTTTTAATCCTTCTCATAATTTTGGCATCGTCCGGAAACATTGAGAGAAATGAATCGATACCCTCCGGGAGATCATTTACATATATCAGAAACAAGATAGGACCGAGTACAGAGCCTTGTACTCCACTGGTGACTTCACGCCAATCGGAGGTCTCACCCCTCACCATAACTCTGCTTCCTATTGCTTAGGTACTACCTTATCCACTGGAGCACCTTACCAACTACACCTGCCTCTCCAGCTTATGTACCAGCCTCTTATACGGTACTGTGTCAAAGGCTTTCCGACAATCCAAGAAAATGCAGTCCGCCCAGCCCTCTCTTTCTTGCTTAAACATTGTCACCTGGTCGTAGAATTTTATTCAGCCAATCAGGCGAGATTTACCCTCCCTGAACCCATGTTGGCGATTTGTCACGAAGTCCCTTCTCTCCAGATGCGTTACCAAGTTTTTCCTCACGATCTTCTCCATCACCCTGCATGGTATACAAGTCAAGGACACTGGCCTGTAGTTCAGTGCCTCTTGCCTGTCGCCCTTTTTGTATATTGGGACCACATTCGCCGTCTTCCATATTTCTGGTAGGTCTCCCGTCTCCAGTGACTTACTATACACTATGGAGAGTGGCAAGCAAAGTGCCTCTGCACACTCTTTCAGTACTCATGGTGAGATCCCGTCTGGACCAACAGCTTTTCTAACATCCAGATCCAGCAGGTGTCTCTTGACCTCCTCGCTCGTATATATGTATACGTATGTATATATGTGCGTATGTATGTGTATAAAGTATATGTGAAAGCTGATCAGAATTACATTTCACCCATGTAAATGCACATTAATAACACTATGTAAAAGACACATCCACCACTTTATGTAGGACAGACGTAACTGTGTATCTATGTATTTGTCTGAAGGTTAGCTTAGCATTTTAAAACCACTACAATCACCTTCTGCGGTTGATTGTTGAATAAATCCCTGAACTATAGAATCAAGGTACACAACGTCACTAACCTTTCTCCTACCTTAATTTTGCGGGGTTGGTTGCATAGACATTACTCGGGGTGAAGTATTAATGGTAATTAAGGTTGGGAAATATGTCGCCCCAGGGGAGGATTACCTTTACCCTTGGGGGTCACCCACCTTAATACTGGACCAGCTAATACTTGATACAGGTTGCTCCTCGAGCTTATTACGGGCTATTCATGCCCGTGCCACCTCTTGGGGGGTTTAACCTTTATCAATCTAGCTTACGTGTGTGTACACACCTAGTTGTGTCTGCGGGGGTTGAGCTTTGGCTCTTTGGTCCCGCCTCTCAACCGTCACTCAACTGGTGTAGAGATTCGTGAGCCTACTGGGCTCTATCATATCTACATTTGAAACTGTGTATGGAGTCAGCCTCCACCACATCACTGCCTAATGCATTCCACCTGTTAACTACTCTGACACTGAAAAAGATCTTTCTAATGTGTCTGTGGCTCATTTGGGTACTCGGCTTCCACCGATGTCCCCTTGTTCGCGTACTACCCGTGTTAAATAATCCATCCTTGTTTACCCTCTCAATTCTCATGAGAATTTTGTATGTGGTGATCATGTCTCCCCCTAGCTCTTCTGTCTTCCAGCGACGTGAGGTGCAGTTCACGAAGCCTGTCCTTGTAACTCCTGCCTCTTAGTTCTGGGACTAGCCTAGTGGCATAACTGAACTTTTTCCAGCTTCGTACTCACCTAGTTGTACTCGCCTAGTTGTGTTTGCCGGGGTTGAGCTCTGGCTCTTTGGTCCCGCCTCTCAACCGTCAATCAACAGGTGTACAGCCTTCGTGTGTGTGTGTGTGTGTGTGTGTGTGTGTGTGTGTGTGTGTGTGTGTGTGTGTGTGTGTGTGTGTGTGTGTGTGTGTGTGTGTGTCGGGACAGTGTAGAACACGGTGTGTGTGTGGACGGGTGTGCGGGGCGTGCACAGGAAGGAGAGGGGAGCAGGGTACTGAGTTACAGGGGAGAGGGCGGGTAGACAAGTCAATGTGCATTGTTTGTGGAATACAAATGGTGGGTGGTGAGGGTTTAGAGTAGGGGAGGTGCTGGAGAAGTGGCCCCTTCATCCTCCACGCCTCTGGAGTAGCGCGACACTCTGCACTATCCTAGTAGTTGGTGGGAGAATAAATTACGATGACTGGGAGGGTGGTGGTGTACCGTACCATGGGAGGGTGGTGGTGTACCGTACCATGGGAGGGTGGTGGTGTACCGTACCATGGGAGGGTGGTGGTGTACCGTACCATGGGAGGGTGGTGGTGTACCGTACCATGGGAGTGGTGGTCGTACCATGGGAGGGTGGTGTACCGTACCATGGGAGGGTGGTGGTGTACCGTACCATGGGAGGGTGGTGGTGTACCGTACCATGGGAGGGTGGTGGTGTACCGTACCATGGGAGGGTGGTGGTGTACCGTACCATGGGAGGGTGGTGGTGTACCGTACCATGGGTACCGTACCATGGGGGTGGTGGTGTACCGTACCATGGGAGGGTGGTGGTGTACCGTACCATGGGAGGGTGGTGGTGTACCGTACCATGGGAGTACCGTACCATGGGAGGGTGGTGTGTACCGTACCATGGGAGGGTGGTGGTGTACCGTACCATGGGAGGGTGGTGGTGTACCGTACCATGGGAGGGTGGTGGTGTACCGTACCATGGGAGGGGAAGTCGTCGACGATACGAGTGGTTTGTGTGGCGGAAAGTAGAACATTGTTGTGGCCTGGTCGACGACCGGGCCGCGGGGACCCTAAGCCCCGGAAAGACCTCAAGGTAACCTCCATCATCTGATTGCATTAATATAATTGTTAATGTTGCTCCGAAGGGCGAGTGTATTGGGCAGCGTCACTCATGTGTCTCTCCTTTACAACAGGCTTCAGAAAAATAAAGTTGATTATATGGATTTCGTGGTGCTCGTGTGGTATAAAGTGAATTAGTGGTAGGGGCGTGAAGGTATCTATCAATGGAGTACTCTTGATAGTAGGTGGGAGACTTAGTGTTGCAGGTGGGAGACTTAGTGTTGCAGGTGGAGGGAGGTGGTGGAGTAAGAGCCAGGGAGCACCAGTCCCCGGCCACCACACACCCAGGTGACTGTTAGGCTGCCCTCAGCCAGTCTGTTATCGTCATCACCACCCACCATACACACTCTCCTGCTCCTCCCAGCCCTCCTCAACCCCTCACGCGCCCTATAGTTACCACGCCTTCATAACTCCATAATTTAATAGCAAAAATAGTGACAGTGTGTAAGTGTAATAGTGTAAAAGCAAAGGAAATAGTGTAAAGCAAAGGTTACATATAAAATCGAGGTGTAAGAAGAATGGGGGCGAGTTCGTCTCACCACGAGCCCCTGGGGGACCAGCACTCCAACGCCTGCACCCGCGGCGCCCCCCACGGCCCCTCCCACACCCGCACCTCCCTCAGGAAGTCTCTGAGGAAGAAGAAGCGAGAGAAGCTGGACCAGAAGGATGACAACAAGGAGAACCAAGGGAACGAGGTGGCCCCTGAGGGTCGCGACCAACCGCCCCAGCCCAAGGTAAGTGCAACCCAAGTACAGTGTTTGTTTACCCACTCCTGTGTGTAGGGGATGACGTCCCTCTGAGGGTGTATCATGTGCTGTGCGCACGGTGCTCTTCACTTTAGAATGATCACTGTGCTTACCTGGAGCATGATCACTGTGCTTACCTGGAGCATAATACCTGCTGCTTACCGAGAGCGTGCCACCAGCATGTGCTAGTCTGTAATACTGTGTTGATATGCTACTGGGGGAATGCTTAATTGTTTTCATTGTGAACATTTGCTTACGGTGAAAACAGTGGACCAAACTCTCACAAGTCAAGTCTGGCCTCGGGCCGGGCTTGGGGAGTAGAACAACTCCCAGAACCCCATCAACCAGGTATCATTATTTGGTATGAGAGTTTCCTGTTATGTTGGCTGGGATCTGCCGAGGGCTCGCTTATACATTGCTACACGAGTATTTATTTTCTAAATGTTGTTTCAGAAGCTTATCTTTATGTATTCGATAGTAATATAAGATTGCCGACTGAGGATTAATTTGTGTGATAAATACTTGGGGTAAGTATTATCTTCGCGTTTCTAGAGAGTACAATGTGTGTGTGTGTGTGTTAATTCTGTGTTAATAATATGTGCATTATTGTGTACAACACTTATTATATACAAACGTGTCAGGAGTTGAATGCTCGTTTGTCTTCCATGTTGCCAGTTGTAAATCTTGCATACAGTTATGTCTGATGTGTGTTGTCTTCTTGAATCTTGCCTACACACCTGTGTTTGGACACTCACCACAAACCTGAAAATGAAAGAATGTTGGATATTTAAAAAATAGCCTTTTGTTTAACTTAATCGTATTTCAAGAGTAACTAAAACAGTTATTGAATCTGTCAGTCGTTAGACGTTCTACTGCCTTTGTTGTCCCAACTGTGTGCAGAACTGGTGGCCAACCTCCTTAATAAACAATGGTTCAAATTCACCAAATTCCTTGGCCGATTGAACCGTCCACTCCAGCTTCTGATGAAAGTTCGTCTGACGTGTCGGGAGAAATAACAGGCACTTCCTTCCCTGAACCTGTGCCTCTTGCCGTGTGCGGTCCGGTTACATCCTTCCAGTGAGATTTTCCTGCTGAGTTTGTATAGCGCTTTGAAGCCCTGGTCGGTAAATTGCAAGATTTCTGGCATGGTGGGATCGCCCATCCCTCCGGCATGATGAACTGCCTGTTTCACTGGCCATGAATGTCCCGTGAGACAGAACAGTTGCTGGTAACATCCTTCACTCTGAGTGAAGGATGTCCCACCTCATAAGGGTCGCTGTGAAAGGAGTCTTAAAGTTTTACAGTACACCGATTACTATCACAAATGATTAATCTTTTAAAGCGATCAGCAAGCAGCTGGAGTGAGACTTGGGCCACGGCGCCACAGTCCAACACAACTCACTTTCATGGTACAACCCGACAAAAGAACAAAACGTTGGAGTGTCGACCGTGAAGCCTTGCTCCAAGGGCTACAATGCTTGTCCTATACATCTCCTGCATTGCTCACAGATAAATTAGTCTGTGCTGTTAACACCCTATTGACTGATGCCAACATAATAAAACTCTCCTTGTGTGATAAATGACGACAAAGAATGCCTACAAACTCATCAAACTGAACATTCCTTTTAAATACAATCAACCTGTCACTGATATTCCTCTTTATCTGTACCATTCAAGTATCATAGACACACCCGTCACTAAGAAAGGTAATGAGAATCTTGCTCTCAAAGCTGTCACACAAGAAACAATTGCCGCCTCCGTAAAAAATCTCGGATCTGATATATTATTATTAATGTCTATATTGACAAAATTAATTACAATTTTGCCTAATCTGAGGATTTCGATTAAGTCTTATTAAAGTGAAGATAATGCTGGTATTCAGTTTCATAGAGAACAGAGTCATACATAAGACAATAGGTCTAAACTTTAGGCGGAAGCACATATATATATCATGGTTACAATCAATGTTTTAATGTATGGATATGTGAAAACAACTTTCTATTGTACACTGCCACACAAGGGCAGGGATGGGTTCATAGGTGATGCAGCTTAGAAGTAATATAAATAAAAATTGTTCTGATGAGAACTGTGTCTACACCGACGGCTCCGTCCAATCATCTACTGGACGGACTGCAGCAGTATACAGGTTTTATAGTAACAATATTTGCACGCAGACTGTCAGTGTCAGGCTAAACAACTGGCTGACCTCCACACAAACAGAACTAGCGGCACTACAGCTAGCTACCAGTACATTATTGTGCACAGGAGGAAGAACAATATTTTGTGATTTAAAGTCTGCTCTTCAGGCAGTTGAAAACGTCTCTTATAAGACCGACAGAAAGAACCTCATACTAACAATTATCAATAACCTGATCGCTGCACAGAGTAAAGGGTTTAGAATGTCTCTTGTATGGATGCCATCACACACAAATATAACCCATCATAATGACACACATTGCAGCCAAATTAGCGTGTAACGAGCATGACTGACACAACACTAAAGGGAGCCAACTAAAAGAAATATTAGTGGAGGGAAACTTGTAGAGAGATTTCAAGCGACCTTCAATAAATTTGATTATTTTTTTCGTTTCTTTGAGTATGATACATTTATTATTATTAATGGAAGCAAGCAAACAATACACATACCTAAGAGTAGACAATAACCAATTGGAACACGTGACTTTTTTATAATATCATTTTAAAAAATAAGTTACAGCACTTATTATTAATTTAGACTGAATACTGAAAAAGATATAATCATTTGGGACAAAGCAGTCGTGTGCCTGGCAGCGCGGAGCCTGGCAGCGCGGAGCCTGTCACCTCCACGAGCTGGTCATTTCCCCTCAACCCTCTGGTAACATTACCGGTGCACTGCCTCAACTGAGCCCCCCCCCTACATGTTGCAAAAAAAGACCCCCAGGGGGGGCCATGACCCCCAGTTTGGGAAGCGGTGACCTTCAGGATATGGGACGTGTAATGTTGTCGTGTGACGGCAGGTAACACAGCTGAGGGTGACAGGTAAACATGTTTACATGTTGGGGGGGGGGGTGCAGCATGTACTCCCACTATCCCCCCCGTCCTCCCCCCGTGCAATCCCCCCAGTGCACCCCCCACTTTCCCCCCTCTTCCCCCCCCCCAGTGCACCCCCCTCTTCCCCCCCCAGTGCACCCCCCTCTCCCCCCCCCAGTGCACCCCCCTCTTCCCCCCCCAGTGCACCCCCTCTTCCCCCCCCAGTGCACCCCCCTCTTCCCCCCCCCCCCAGTGCACCCCCTCTTCCCCCCCCCAGTGCACCCCCTCTTTCCCCCCCCCAGTGCACCCCCTCTTCCCCCCCCGCCCAGTGCACCCCCCTCTTCCCCCCCCCCCCAGTGCACCCCCCTCTTCCCCCCCCAGTGCACCCCCTCTTTCCTCCCCCCCCCAGTGCACCCCCCTCTTCCCCCCCAGTGCACCCCCCCCCTCTTCCCCCCCCCCCAGTGCACCCCCCTCTTCCCCCCCCAGTGCACCCCCTCTTCCCCCCCCCCAGTGCACCCCCCTCTTCCCCCCCCCCCAGTGCACCCCCTCTTCCCCCCCCGCAGTGCACCCCCTCTTCCCCCCCCCCCAGTGCACCCCCCCCCCCCCCCAGTGCCCCCACCCCCCCTCCCCCGTGCACCCCGCTCCTGTGTGTGCTTGACGAGGTATGGAGAACAATCCTGGAGCTGTATGCTCCAGGATTGTTCTTACATATGGTGTGTACTCGCCTAATTGTGCTTGCGAGGGTTGAGCTTTGTCTCTTTGGTCCCGCCTCTCAACTGTCAATCAACTGGTGTACAGATTCCTGAGCCTACTGGGCTCTATCATATCTACATTTAAAACTGTGTATGGAGTCAGCCTCCACCACATCACTGCCTAATGCATTCCATCCGTTAACTACTGACACTGAAAAAGTTCCTTCTAAGGTCCCTGTGGCTCATGTGGGTACTCAGCTTCCACCTGTGTCCCCTTGTTCGCGTCCCACCAGTGTTGAATAGTTTATCCTTGTTAACCCGGTCGATTCCCCTGAGGATTTTGTAGGTTGTGATCATGTCTCCCCTTACTCTTCTGTCCTCCAGGGTCGTAAGGTGCATTTCCCGCAGCCTTTCCTCGTAACTCATGCCTCTTAGTTCTGGGACTAGTCTAGTGGCATACCTTTGGACTTTTTCCAGCTTCGTCTTGTGCTTGACGAAGCTGGAAAAAGCTTCGAAGCTGTGTGTGTGTGTGCGTGTGTGTGTGTGTGTGTGTGTGTGTGTGTGTGTATGTGTGTGTGTGTGTTTACTAGTTGTAGTTGTATTTTTGCGGGGGTTGAGCTTTGCTCTTTCGGCCCGCCTCTCAACTGTCAATCAACTGTTTACTAACTACTTCTTTTTTCCACACCACACACACACCCCCCAGGAAGCAGCCCGTGACAGCTGACTAACTCCCAGGTACCTATTTACTGCTAGGTAACAGGGGCACTTAGGGTGAAAGAAACTTTGCCCATTTGTTTCTGCCTCGTGCGGGAATCGAACCCGCGCCACAGAATTACGAGTCCTGCGCGCTATCCACCAGGCTACGAGGCCCCCTAGAGTGTGTGTGTGTGTGTGTGTGTGTGTGTGTGTGTGTGTGTGTGTGTGTGTGTGTGTGTGTGTGTGTGGACGGGGGTCAGCAGTGCCTGGTGGTCGCCACGTAAACTGTAAACCATGCTGAATGTTCATGAGACTGTCAGTAAACAAGAACATAATGTGCCGCCTCTGTGCTGAGTTGGTCATCCCTCATCCATGACTGACATTTTCACATCCTCTTGTACGGCCAGTTTCTGTCCGGCGACAGTGGGAGCGCGGCCCGTTTCTGTCCGGCGACAGTGGGAGCACGGCCCGTTTCTGTCCGGCGACAGTGGGAGCACGGCCCGTTTCTGTCCGGCGACAGTGGGAGCACGGCCCGTTTCTGTCCGGCGACAGTGGGAGCGCGGCCCGTTTCTGTCCGGCGACAGTGGGAGC